TCAAAATCGCCATCCAAAATCATTTCTTTTGTTCTACTTTTTGTAAGCTTTTACTACGATCCTCGTAGACGATATTCAGTATTCTATGCCACTTTATTACTTGGAAAAGACGATATTAGACCATGCTATGTACTTGCTTTGTGGTTCCTCTTATCATATGTCTGTCGGTGCTTAAAACCCCCCTACCACAATCAGACCAAAATGGTAATAGAATAACGTATGAGTATGAAATTAATACCAACGACAATTCATGAGACCCTAGACAATTAATTCCATGCTTGCATGGAAACTTTTCCGTGGAAAAGTGAAATTGCTTATATGGATCAATTTATTTCCTGAACGAAGGTCTTTCGAAAAGTCAATAGATACAAAAAGATATAAATAAGATGCAAATTCAACTATGAAAAATAGTTTAAATATGCGTTTAAATGGGAAAGAGACTTTGTATTATATATACCATTCCAAATGATGTGTACCCAAAGTAATTTAAAACTTTGAAACTAGTTCTCGTATTATATTTCATTCGTTAAATAGAAAAGAATCTGTTATTTTTAACCATCTAAACTAAGGAGTGTTTAATCAGAGGTATTAAACAGTCATTACTGTGACTAAATATAAAAGAAATTGTAATACAATGGGCCCATTTTCCCATAATCCCAAATTTTCATGCGAGATTAAGGTCATGTTTGCTAGCAACTTACTGAGACTGACGACTTGTTCAGTCAACTATATATGATTGTTTGGTAGTGACTTAGTGATGCAAAATATGATTTATTCAGTAAACTTCTAGGGTGGAGCTTTATGCAGACAGTCGAGTTTTTTCAAAACATGTATCTTCCAATTAAAAAAACATGTTCCTTTTATATATGAAAAAAAAAATCTTGCCAAACAAAAAAATTTCCGGTCTATCCAGACAAATTAGTTCACATAAACAACTTTATCCATACAAGGTTTAGGGGTTTATCAAATTTTTTATTAAGTCTTGTATGGATAAATTTGTCTGTCTGGATTGTTTACTTTTTTATCTGAATCAACAGTTTGAATAACATAAATAACCGATTTACCCCCAATATTAATTATTTGAACATCAAAACAAAAAAAATCATAAAGAGGCCGATGATGAGGTATCTCATATGGGAAGGAGGCGGTGCTTTAAATAAGGGGTAGGGGTGTCATTTTTGTGGCTGAATGGGGACAACACATCATTTATATCTGTGTGATTAAGCCATGTTATGTGCGAATAAGCCGTAAGTAAACAACCCGAATGAGCTGTGCAAATAAGCCAGATAGACCAATAAGCCTAATTAAGCCGCACGTAAACAACCCTTTAATGAAAAACAAACTAAACAACCCCAAAACTGGGGGAATGAAAATACATCAGTCGTTTTCATTCTCGTTCCCTTACTTGAACCAAACAATCCTTAAATAAAAAATAAACGAAGATGTCTGTTTTGTAAATAACTGATAATACTGACGACCAATGAGTCGATGACGTGCAGTTTTTTTTATAGAATTATAATAAAAATGAAGGCGAATTTTATGTAAAGGAATGGCAGTCAACATATCATCAAAATTGAAAGTTCAAATGACTTCTTCTTGGTAGGCTGGTCAACGATCACGACGTCGTCTTAATTGTTCAAAAGTCAAATATCGATACTCCTTACCACTTACATTACACACAACTCATGTGATGCAAACTATAAGGACGGCAAACAAATTCTTTATGTATTTAATTAAACAAATATATTTATTATTATTAGAATAGTACTCGTGCAATGCAGTGAAACACATCTCGATTTTAATGTTATATTTTATTATTTGTCTATGTCGATGTTATAATACGATTTTATGTGTTTTTAAGAAAACAATAATGATATTATTTTTGAATAAAATATAAATTTAAAGATATCATAAAATTTTGAAAAAAATATATCAATGTTAATATCAAATCAACTATTTTAAAGTTTTTATGTAATTTCTTTTATTTTTTACTATAATTTAATTTAAATTTAATAACGAAATAATTTATTTTTGGTTTAATAATATAATATGTTATAAAGATAATAATTAAGTATTCTGTTAGAACTCAATAATTATTTTAAGTATATTTTTAGATTTTTTATATTTAAAATGAGATGTTTATTTTGTATTCGATTATGTTTATCTGCAGTTAGTTATACGAATTCATATATGAAACTTTAATAAGTTGTACTTACGCACAATCTACTTGCAATCTTGAGTTTTAAGTAATATGCATTATTAAACAGTACTTTACGCATAAAAAATAGTTTTTAAGAGTTTTTGTCAAATGCTTTATAATATAGTATAGATAAATAGTAAAGTTCCATTTTGGTCCTTCGTATTTGAAATTTTCAACGAATATCGTCTTTGAACTTAAAAAAATTCGGATTTGGTTATTTACGTTTTTCAATTCTCAAGGGTTTTGGTCTGTCTATTTAAGAGCGTTAGTTTTTTCCGTTAAATGAAGGATTTTTTTAGTCATTTTTAGTTTTATATTAAAATTATATATATAATACTTTTTCTAATTTTAATATAAAATAAGAAAATAGTAGGAAAGAAATAAAATACTCCTCATTTAATTGGACTTAACATAAAAAGTTAACAACCTTTAGACAGAGAGATAAAAACCATTGGAAATTGACAAATGTAATAGACTAAATCTTAGTTTTTGAAGTTTAGTGACCATATTTGTTAAAAATTACAAATGTTAGAGACTAAAATTAAACTTTAGGGACTGTTTGACAATTGCTGAATGGTTTTGTGCAGAATGATTAAGAGGTTCTCATGATGTGGTACAATGAAATTAGGGCGTTTAATGGTTAAGGGATGTCCATGATACAAAATCATTCCATAGGGTTTTAGAACCATTAAGTTGCAGATTTTTTTTGCCAAATAAGATTCACTTCTTAACGATTCAAATGTTACATCTTAATGGAACTATTAAGAGGTAAACAAACAACATCTTACTTAAAACATGTTAATTTGTAAGTTATTTATTGTTTTTAAAGCCATTTTTCAATTTGATATATTTCACAAATTAAATTTAAGTATCTTTTATACGTCATTTTCCTATTTAACTAGGTAATATAGCCTTTTACAAGGTTCAAACATTTTCGTGACAATTATTAAATTCAAATCAAGACGTTACCTTTCGAAGACGGACTTGTGGAGAACTTTGTATTTAATTTGGAATTGACAAACGGGTTTTCTCGAATGACGGCATTCGAGGCTGTCGATCGTTTTCTTTCTTTTTCCTTCAAAAACTTTCCAGCTACTGGATCTGCAAGCGGGTCAACAGCTTTTCTTTTTTGTGGGTGAGTGGTGCAGGGGGTTTAGTTTTCAACATGACTTGGTCTGCGTTTCTTTTGTTTGTTTTGTTCTGTTTGTTGGTTTCTTTTCTTACAAAAAACTAGCTCTCTCGGTTTCTCGTTCTTATTATAACTGGTTTAATAAATTTTCTTGATTGCTCTAAAAAGAACCCGTATTATAGAGTGTTTGACTAACGTCTTGTAAACACATTATTATGCGTCAATCGCTCTTGATTAATGCATATCCCATAACATTTAAAAGCACATATTAATACTTCTTAAGTACAACTTATTATAGCTTTATAAATGTTGCTCCGTCCCCACCATATCCATCCATATCTCAAACCCCTTATTAAAATCCGTCCTTCATTCAAATGGGAAAAATCGACAAAAATATTAAAAACCCGTGTATCATCAGATAAAATCCGGCACCATCATCTTCAAGATTAAATTAAAATCTCGTTGTATCTGATACAAAAATCTACTGACATGTCGTTTCACTTGGAATTTTCTTATTCAAATTTCATAAAATAGATGAGGTATATTTCTAAAGACGGAGATGGATAATATCTAGTATTATTTAGATTCTTAATGAATATGTATTCATATCAATTAATTGGTAAAATAGAGATTCATACAAATTAATCATGTATCAGGAGCCAAATTTGAACTGATGACATGAGGATTTTCAGTTATCTACTCTACCAACTGACTTATCCCGACTATTCGTGATGTATCAAGTAAAGCAAACATATCATTTTAATTACAACAATAGATTCACATCAATTATCACATGAGTACACGACATAACAAAATTGGTTTCCATTTTTATTACCAGAAGGATACTCGTACAATGCAACGAGATACATACTGATTTTAATGTTTTCGTTTTTTTTGTCTCAGTCGATGTTATAATACGGTTTTATATGGTTTTGAGAAAACAATAATGTTTTTAAGTTTTGGAAAAAATATAAATACGAAAATATCATAAAAAATGAAAAAAAAATTGATAAAATTTCTCCTTTTTTATGTATTTCTTTGTATTATTTTTTATTTTTGATTTAATAATATAATTTTTTATAAATATAATGATTAAGTATTTTGTTAGAGCTCAATAATTATCTTAATTATATTTTAGATTTTTTATATTTAAAATGAGATGTTTATCTTGTATTTGATTATGTTTATCTGCAGTTACTTAGATTAATTCAAACATAAAACTTTAATAAGTTGTATTCACACATAATTTACTTATAATATTAAATTTTAAGTAATATGCATCAATAAACAATACTTTACCCATAAAAAATAGTTTATAAGAATTTTTATCAAATATTTTATAATATAAATATAGATTAATTAAAAAAATAAAAAAAATGATATAATTATTTTATTATGACCTACTTTGGCACGGGAGCACCATTCCACATGGTCCAAATGAATCATTGGAGTCTTTGAAAAGCATAACATATGGGACTCACCTTCCCATCCCCAATCCGATGTCGAACGACGCCGTATTCATTCAAACCCGTTTGACGGGTCGTCTTCCAACCCGTTTTCCACGAACTCCCTCTTTTTCAAAATGCATATATATATTTATATTAACCTCATAAACCAAAACGGAAATTGATAATATTAAATAAAATAAAATAATAATTATTATTAACCGGACTCCTTCCACCTCCATGGGACAATCCTCCTCCTCCCTCTCGCCGTCGCCGCCGGGTTCAACCCACCACCTCCACCGGTCTGTTGTTCTCTCATCATCTTCCTCCTCAGCCGGATCGGAGGCTCTCGCTTTCAGGAACTCCAAGGAGGAGGTTTCTATTGAGTTTTCTGAAGATAACAGTTCTTATATCGACTATACATCTGAAATTCCCGATGATTGTTTGGCCGTAGTTTTCCAATTCCTTGGTGCAGGCGACCGGAAGCGATGTTCTCTTGTGTCTCGGAGATGGCTGCTTGTCGAAGGCCAAAGCCGCCACCGACTCGCTCTCAACGCCCAATCGGAACTCCAACCTGTCATCCCTTCGATTTTTTCTAGGTTTGACTCCGTCACAAAACTCTCTCTCCGATGTGACCGCAGATCCGTTAGTATAGACGACAACGGATTGATCCTTATATCTCTCCGGTGCCGGAACCTCACGCGCCTCAAGCTCCGTGGTTGCCGTGAAATTTCCGATATAGGTATGGCGGCGTTAGCGAAGAACTGCAAGGAGTTGAAGAAATTCTCTTGTGGATCTTGTATGTTTGGTGCCAAAGGAATGAACGCGCTCCTCGATAACTGTTCTTCTCTCGAGGAACTCTCGGTGAAGCGCTTACGCGGCATCAACGACGGCGGAGCGGCGGAGCCGATTGGTCCCGGCGCCGCTGCTATGTCTCTCAAATCCGTATGTCTCAAGGAGCTCTACAACGGCCAGTTCTTCGGGCCGTTAATCAGCGGTGCTAAGAAACTGAAAACCTTGAAATTGCTCCGTTGCTTAGGCGATTGGGACAGGTTGTTGGAAACGGTTGCCACTTCGGATAATTGTTTATCTGAAGTCCATCTAGAGAGGCTTCAGGTGAGTGATATCGGTCTCTCGGCGCTATCCAATTGTTCAAATTTGGAAATTTTGCATATTGTGAAGACTCCAGAATGCACTAATACTGGGGTTATCGCCATTGCTGGCCACTGTAAGTTTTTACGGAAGCTTCATATTGATGGTTGGAAGACAAATAGGATAGGAAACGAGGCTTTGATTGCCATTGCAAAACATAGTGCCAACCTTCAAGAATTGGTTCTAATTGGGGTTAATCCTAGCTCGATTAGTTTGGAAGCCATTGCTATAAATTGTCAGAAATTGGAAAGATTAGCCCTTTGCGGAAGTGAGACGATAGCTGATGGTGAGATTTCTTGTATTGCATCAAAATGTGTTGCGTTAAAGAAGCTTTGTATCAAGGGGTGTCCAGTATCCGATGAAGGGATCGAAGCTTTTGCTTGGGGTTGCCCTAATTTGGTAAAGATTAAGGTGAAGAAGTGTAGAAATGTGACATTTGAAGTTGGGGATTGGCTTAGAGCTAGAAGGGGATCGTTGGTGGTCAATTTGGATGCGTGTGCAGTCGAAACCGAAACCGTGGATGCAAGTGCTAGTGACAGTGGTGCACCAGAGGATCCAGTTGGGTTTCCGCCGATGATGAGCCATGCGGCTGTGGCTCAACCTGACCATCTGGCTAGTAGCTCTAGTAGTCGAGCTTCCGTTTTCAAGTCAAGATTTGGGCTTTTTGGAGGTAGGGGTCTTGTCACTTGCACTCTCAGAAGGTGGTCAAATGGTAATAGCAGTTCCAATGGCACCTCATGAACTGTAACCTTACTTTCTAAACAACACTTGCATTGATCAACACTTGCCTTTTTTCATGTTAATTCTGATTTTTATTCAATCACACTGCAATTTATTTGGTGCTTGAACTTTGTTTTGGTTTTCTTGCACTTCCAAATGACAAAGTCATCCACCAAAATGATAGCCGTATTCGGTGGTTCATCTTGGTGTCTTGTCTCTTCAATATGTTACTCTTTTTTCAAATTTCTCTTGGTTTCTTTCACAAATTTCTCTTGGCATTGTGCCCAAAACTTGTAATGAGTTATGAATATATGTTGACTTTGTATTTCATTTTCTTACATACATACATGATACATCTATCTTATTTTGCATGTTTCCCTGTCGGTTTAGTTCCTTTTTTGATCTTGTTATGTTCTTGTTTCTTGAATGTTAAATGGAAAGCTTTTGACCCAAAGTAATCAACTTTTTATAAATGTTCTTGCTTCGGTGGTGGTTATCGGATCCGGGAACTGTTTTTATGGCTTTTATGAATTGTAATTGTTTGTCCTAGTTCAAGGTGCATGCTTCATGTGAATCAAACCCCATGGCTTGTTAGGTTGCCAATCTTTATGCAAGTGTGAAAGAAACTTGTCTACAAGATGAAATTTGAGGTCATTGTGGTTCCATATCATGAATCATCCTTGGTAAGACCATTACTTAGGCATTAGTTTTGCCTTGTTGTAGGATTTATAGACTCCTAGCTTCTAGTTTATACTTTTACATTGACACTTCTAATAGTAACTTAAGGGTGCATTTGGTATATGCACGAGACTGGACTGGCTGGACATGACAAGAGTGAAAGAATTCTGGAAGGTTTTAAAGTTTTAATTTGATATGGGTAGTCTACTAGTTTGTCGATCTTGTCTCACCTTCTTGATTTTTGTTTTATTTGTGTTGGTGTATAATGTATCAACTATTAAGTGGGTATTGCTATATGAACCCTTTTGTGTCAAAATTCGGTCAAATCTTGTATTGGAAACGTAAAAAGTGTTATTGTTGATGTGTCTGAGGAGAAAATTAGTACAATAGGGTGCATTTAGCCTAGCCATGTTAAAATATGCAATTTTGTTGCATCTAATGTCACGTTAAATGTGAGACAAACTTTGTATTGTCTTGTCCCGTTCTGTCCTTTGTGCCAAATACACCCTTACCGTTTCTATTCCTTTTCCTACTAGATTGTGAACGTCGATGGCAAAGGTTAGTTGGGGTCGATGAAAACAATGCAACCGGCTATATTTAGCATGATTATTTTGATAAAGATTCTTTTGTTGCAGCTGTTGGATGGGCATGGCATGGAAAGAGTGTCCTCCCTCCTATCTACTTGGAATTTTTCTAGACCTGTATCAACTCTTGTGAGGTCATTTTTGTCTCTATTACCATATAAAATGATAATTTAACGGTGGTGTCTGATTGGTTTGAACTTGGCTCCAAAGGTCAAAAGTATCAGGAGGTCCCAGATTCAAATCCAAGGAGGAATAAAAATCCTCTTGTGGCCACGGATGTTCAAATACGGTGACTCCGGACTATCTGCAAAGCAGGTGGCATCCATGAAATTAGTCAGTTCGTATAGCGGGTTGGATATTCAGGTTAATAAAAAAGAATGATAACTCTATTTATGATTCTAGAAGTGTTCTTGGTCAGTGGTGGTTGGGCTGCTGGTATCTTGTGACAACTTTGGATGGTTAAGAAAAAGTAGTTTGTGCATTTATTGGGTGATTAGAAGAGCCTTGACCATGATTGACAAAACAAGTGGATGCCAATATTGGTTAAAGAAATGATTAGAGCATTCGACAAAAGATGAGAGATTCTAAAATAACAAGTAGGAAACAATCAATCTATGGATTTTAAATTTTTTAAGTTGGGAGATTTTGAATGCAAAGACGAAGGATAGGGTCATTTGTGGGGCCCACAAATATGTTTATAACGTGATGTAAGGGTTAATATCAGTTGAAGAAGATAAAACCTGGTATCGACATAGTTGATGTAATGTAATATCAGTTATGTTTGTTTATCTTTTAATTAATGATTCGGTATGGCCCTTCTTTAATTAAGCTAGAATACCCATATTGCCCCTCTACCATGATAATATGCCCATATTGCCCTTGTTGGTATCCTTACCTCAAGAATTGGTTAATAAGCAAACCCATATTGGTATCCTACCTCAAGAATTGGTTAACAAGTAATACCCATATTGCCCTTGTTGTCCTACCTCAAGAATTGGTTAATAAGCATACACATGTTACCCATGTTGGCATCCTACCTCAAGAATCGGTTAATAGTTATACCCATATTGCCCTTGTTGGTATCCTAATTCAAGAATTGGTCATATAGAACACTTGATGTGTGGATTCTTGATTCTTGAAGATTAGGTAAAATCTCAGCTGGTGAGGTCTTGTTGGAAGAGGACTTGATTTCAGAGAACACATATGATAACGGAGCTATTCAATGAAAATGGCAACTCTTGTAGCACGAGTACGTGCTCGATATATACGCAAAATGCGAGAATTAGATTGTGATTGTGTTCGCTTGTTTTTTTGATTAAAACCTAGAAGGAAAAGGTCATAAAAGAAGTATGATTTGCGGGTGATAAAAAGTAGAAAATTGGTCGTATTGACCAACTATTAAACGTATTCTAAGCCTCTTAGAGGCTGTTTGACAGTTGCTGAATGGTTTGGTGCAGAATGATTAAGAAGCTCTCATGATATAGTGCAAAMTGAAAAATAATTGTTTGGTAATTGTTTACAATGAAATTAGGGTACTGAATGGTTAAGGGGGGCCCATAATACAAAATCATTCAGACAAACTTTTTTTTTTGTCAAACAAGATTCATCTCTTAATGATTCAGTTGTTGTCTCTTAATGAAACTATTAAAAAGTAAACAAACAACCCATAAACCAAACTCGTGTCCTAATGACTTTACAATATCATAGTAGCATTAGAGTCGAAAGGAATTGAGCAAGAAAATTGCATTTGAATTGTATGATGAGGGCAAGAATACTTATAATTTATGGCATTACATGATGGTTATTGCCTTTTCTCTTTCATGTTTTCTATGTATACTCTTCAACTATCAAAGGAAATGATAAACAATCTCAATCTTCGTCATCTACGTTTATCAGTTTTAATCAAACTGGTAGTTAAAATAACGTTCGAGTGTGTCAAGTGATAGATATGTGGGTTCTAATGCCAATTACAAGAGAAATCGTTTATATTGTTTATTTAAATAAAGTTACTGATTAAGAACTGTGACACCCTTAAAACTATTGGGTTTGCTGACGCTCTTGCAAAGGCATCTTGTTTCTCATCTTGTCATATTTCTTGTTTTGATATGCCGAGTTTTTTAACTCATTTTATTACCGATATATTTCCTTGGAAAATTCGTTAATGAAAGTTGTTTTTTTTAACTCATTTTATTACCGTTAGTGTCCTTTTTCTTAGTTTGTATATTTTAATTTCAGGTTTATTATGTTTCTGGAAAGAATTGTAATAAAAGACTTGAACATAAACCTCACATGAAAAATAATGAAATAACCAACAGACTAATGATGGTTTTATGAAAAATATCCATTTATTTGTTTCCTACAGTCAAATTGTATCACCATTTGAAAAAAATTCTAGGCTCGTTTCTACAAATCCTTCAAAATCATTCCGTCAAATACCCAAAAGAATTTGGTGAGATTGAAATGCATCAAAAGAATTCGACTTGTGAATTGACCACGTATTTGGTTGGCATTAATATGAATAAACTCTCTCAAAATAATTGAAACCAGCAATGTTTGTATCTTCGAAATTAAAAAGAAACAATAATAAATGACTAAAATACCCTTTTATTACAATATCATAAACTATAATGGTAACGTTAATCGGTGGTGGTGGGGTGCAACGGCGATGACGACGTTAGCGGCATAATGGTGCCGCTGGTGGGTGAGTGGCAGTTGTGTCCAAGAAAAAAAAAGAAAGACTATTTACCAAAAAGAAGATATCGTTAATAGACGAAGTCAAATTCAATCAAGAACACAGAAAGACGAAGTCGTTAATAACTTGTACTACTAATCTACGATTATTTAGCATACAACTTTACAAGTTATCGAATTTGCGTCTCTTACGATTAATTAATTTACAATTAAACAAAACCTTGAAACACTTATTAAAATAATTGGTTGTTTAAAAAAGCCAGAAAGACCAATTGAGACGGCCAATCCAGATTTGATCTCGATTTTCTGGACAATGACCGGTTAAGGCCCGGCCCGGCCCGGCCCAATTAAAGGATGGATCGGATTTTTTCGGCTTAAAAGGAGGGGTCTAAAAGGGTGTGTTATATTTGTATCTACATGACTTGGACTCTAAGTTGATTTGTAATAGGAAAAAACGTCATAAAACGCTTGAACGATCGTGATGAGCAACAACAAGATGGCTGCAATCACCGAGATGAAAGCCCACGGACTCCGGAAGTATTTATGCCGAAAGTCTGCTTTCCAAGTACTCCACCGATCATTACGACACTTATTAATCTTATCGGTCAAACCGGAAAGATAACTGTTGTTAAGATCCGCGACGATCTCTTGACATAGCCCGTTGAAGAGAGCGGCCACATCATCATCGTTCCCGAGCCAGTGCTCGATGATCCCTTCGTAATGTAGGAGCCCGACATCTTCGGCCGAGTCGATCAAGTTGTTCATGAAAACCAAGTAAGCCGTGATATCGTTGCTGCATTCAGGATGACACTCTTCGAATGCCACGAGGTTACGGAAAACGGGTTTGGTACCGTCGTGGATCAGGATCCGAGGTATCTCGAGAACGGAATTCTTGTACTTTATGTCCCAAAACTGGTCGGTTTCACGTTTTCTAAACCGTATGCCGCTTTCTCTAAGTTGTGATACGGAATACGTTACCTGTGTTGTAGGTTTGCCCACAACATTCCGACTCGACTTTCGTTTCCATAACTTTTTCGTTCTTTTAGGTAAGATTAACGCTTTGCTGACGAGATTCTCTCGGAAAAGATCGAGGCAGTGAAGTGGGTAAGGACCTAACTGGCTAACCTCCCTACTTTCGGGCAACGGCTCATCGGTTGGGATCAACGGTGAGAAGAACATGATTGCCATGCTCGCCAACGTGCCCAATTCGTGACCCTCGACACTCTGTAGGGCGAAGAGTTTATCAAGTATGAACATAGGAATCTGGTTCTCGAGCTTCACCATATCTCTTCGAATCGAATCCAACGAGCCACAAATCGAGAACACCGGATCCCCTTTTGCATAGCCGAGCTTTTCAAACCCATATTTTATTCCTCGAAATAGCTCGAGGATGAAGCAACCATCAAGAACCATCATCTGCACGAACTCATTGCTGTCGAGATTAATCTCGCCCTCGTAGGAACCACGTGCTTTTGCTTCAAGTTCTTTGATGGAATCAAGATAGACCTTGTAGTCGTGTTTATGACGATCAAGGGTCCGGTGAAAAGCCCGCCACTTGTGGCGGTCCATGGGGAGAAGATGGCGGTTTTGGTGGTGGTAAGGCCCGATTGAAACCACACTCGGGGTGTAAGATTTCCAATCGGCTTCACGTAGATATCTCGGGACTTTGTAAATGCATGGTTTTCGGGCAAAAAACGCTTCGTTGTCTAGTCGTGCTTTCGTGAGCTCTTCTTCGATGGCGATCAACCATTCGGATTGCGGGTTTGGGTCTTCCTTTTGATTGTGGCCCATTTTCTCGCTCGAGTTTGAGAAATATTGCAGGAGGAGGAGGAGGAGGAGGAGGAGGAAATATATCAAAGTTAGAGAATTTTCTTGTGGTGCACGTTTTGGGTGGACTTGGAATATGTCAACATGCTCATCATACATAGTCTACGAGAAGTCGTCACCAACTATGGAACAAATACTTACTAAATGATGATGTTTATTAATAATTTTATATATCAATTTTTTTGGAAGTATATCTATACAATGTTAGAATGTTATAAAATATTTGACAAAAACTTTTAAAAACTATTTTTTTATGTATAAAGTACTGTATATTGATGCATATTACTTAAAATTCAAGATTACAAGTAAATTATGTATAAATACAACTTATTAAAGCTTTATGTTTGAATTCGTATAACTAACTGTGGRTAAACATAATCGAATAGAGGATAAACATCTTATTTTAAAATATAAAAAATTTAAAATATAATTAGGATGATTATCGAGTTCTAACAAAATAAAAACAAAATATAAATTACTTTGTTATTGAACCTAAATTAAATTAAAAAAAATACACAAAAATTAGAAATTTTAAATAGTTAAATTTGATACTAGTATCAATATATTTTTGTCAATTTTTTATGATATCTTTAAATTTATATTTTACTCAAAAATAAAAACATTATCGCTTTTTCAAAATCATATAACATTGACTGAGATAAAGAATAAAATGAAATATTAAAATCAAGATGTATCTCGCTACATTGTGCGAGTACCCTTCTAGTAATGGTTAGATGTAGGAAATTGAACAAATAAACTTACACAACCTTCTTATTTTTTTGATAGATTTGAACTCCTGACTGCCAGGGAGGCCAAAGGCACTTTGATGATAATCTCACCCGAAAGGTAAGTGAGGGTAGTGGTTCTTAACCGGTTGTCCGATAAGGTTTGGTAAGATAGAACAGGACAAATTTTACCTTATACATTTCATATATCATGCTTTTATTATTAATAATAAATAAATTACACAAATTAACCAAAATGTACAAAAAATGAATTTTGAGGACAGTAAAAAGAGAATAAAATCAATAAATATGGATAAAATGTAAAGAGGGAAGTATATTTGACGTTTTGAAAGGAAATTAAATTTTATTTTGAGGGCATATTATTAAAATATAGGCTTGTTTCATAAGGTCATGCCAAACATGAAACGGGTTACCCTTGTTCTTCAGTCATATCCAATGTATCAAACGGTCCCATAAGAGACAACTTAAGGATCATTTACCAAACACTTACAGGGTACAATCACTTACCTGATCAAATAACCATAACAAAAATCGAGAATCTTACCCAACAACTAAGGGAAAAGACTCTTACCCAGTTAGCAGTTACCAGGAAAGAGACGTGAAATGGCCGAGAATATACCTGATAAGGTAAGTGAGGATAATGACTTTTACTGATAAGCGGCGTTTGGTAAATGCCAAATAGTGTTTCTTTAAATTCCATTTTGGGATTTGTATAAGGGGCAAAAACTTATACATGTTTGTCCCTTTCTGAATATTAATCCACCCAACCCATGCACATAACACAAAGTACAACTAAAAAGAATTCCAACGGAAAACACTTTCTTCTATTTACTTACTTTCTATTAAACATTTCTTCAGTTCCTCCCTCCCACCATTTTTCTAGTTTTCGATCCTTTCTCCGGAATTCCTGCGTGCATCCGCGTTTCTTGATTCCCGTTTTCTTTTCCCACGAGACGTGCGTTTTGTTCTTGGCGTTCGAGTTTTTGTTGCACGTTTCTCGGTGGTGTTGTCTTGGGTGACGATGGTCGTTTTCCCTACGTTAGATGGGAGTTCCAGTGGAGCATCAGGCCATGGGGTTCGTTTTGCTGGGATGGTAACCTCTAACGGAGGATCAATGGTCCATCTGCATCACAAAAGGAAACCAACGTTCAGGATCGCGTACTTCGGTTTGTAGGGAGTTTTAACATAGGAATTGGAAATTTTCGATACTATATTATAAAGCATTTGGTAAAAAAAACTCGGAAAACAACTTATTAGGTAATGTTTATTAATGCATGATATCTTGAAGTTCAAGTTTACAAATTATTTACTGCATACGTGCAACTTCTTAAAACTAAAACCAACCGGTAACACGTTAAAAAACAGGATAAATGTTAGAGGCCGTTTACCTAAACACTTACCCGGTAAGCACTTAACGGTAAAATTCAACTCTATTGCATACTTATTGGATAAGATTTTTGTCTACCAAAACGACATCGTATGTAACAATTTACCCGGTAAGCACTAACGGCGGTAAGATTCGTTGCCATCACTTACCGGGTAAGACTCTCGGTCCGTGCCTTTTCTCTTACCAGGTAAGATTTTTTGGTCCTTGCCATATTAATCAGGTAAAGAAATGTGACTTGATAAACACTTCCCCGAATAAGCATCTGGTAAACGGCCCCTTAGAGTCCTACTATACAGGGGAATACTCCATAAATTTCTGGTTTTCATATTTACCGAAAAATTAAATTAATTTTTTATTTTTTTATTATAATAAAATTTACATCCCAGACTACCAGTACATTGCAACTTGTAAGTGTACACAACTAGTTATTGTTAAAACTAATAATGAGAACTAAAATACAAAATCAGCTTTCGAGAGGCAACCGTCTCTACCAAAGATCCTTAAATGAACCGTAGAATAAGTATCAAATCAGGCATGCTATCTATTCTCAACTAATCTCCTATATATAAAGCTAGTGGGAGGTTCAAATAAGAAGGATAAATATCGTGAGAATGTAATAAGAGAAGGTTTATATGTGAATCATTGAAAAAATCTATCTGAAGATGCATATGTGAACCAACCTTACAGAGTACTCATTATGGGCTCACATATGCACTGTTAAATGGATTTTTTCAATGATTCACATACGAGTCTTTCCTTCTTACATTTGAACCAGCCTAATGGAGCTATTTATTATGTTAATAACATAGTTGTTACTTTTCACCGATATGGTAAAATCATGTTAGCATATATATTAATAGTATCCTGTCCTTGTCGTAAATTCATCAAATCATGTTCTAATTGTTCTCTTGGAAACGGTCTCTGAGATCTAACCAAATTTCACGAGCCAAATGAAGCAACGATGATGCTACCGTTATAAACGGAGTTTAAGATCCATGAAATCACAATGGGTGTTGTGAATCCATGGGTTAGTCAAATCTTTCACTTTCTTGAGGCACTGGAATGAAACCATCGACAAACCCTAGCTTGTTCTTCACAGACAAGGCAATTGACATTTTTCGACTCCAAGTGGTGTAATTCTCACCAGTTGTGAGACAAGAACTAACACGGAAAGATTTCCGGAACTAAAACCGGGATCTGGAGGATTTTGAGGATCCGGGGGATTTCCAGAGTTCGAGGGTGGGTTAGTCATGATGAGAAATTTTAGAAATCGCAGGTTGAAAGAACAAGCTATAATGCAGCAGATTTGTTGCACTCTGATACCATATTTATGAAAGGAGGAGAAGGCAAACAATCTTTTCTTTTGGAAAAAAGGCAAACAATCTTCGGAGAAACCTAAACAGAGACAAACATAACTAGGAATATTTACAATTTTGTCCCTGATAACTGATTAACCTTGAATAGTGCGACTCTAACCGAATCTATATAGTGTTCATAATCATAAAGATATTAAAGAATTAGTAATCCAACTGGGGTCGGGTTCAAGATAGGAGACACCTAGTCTTTGACATAAGGATCATTGGTTGACTTTCTTAGTCATTTCCAAACCAAACGAACTTAGTAAATCCCTGACAAAGAAGTGGAGTTTGATTGTCAAACTTATATCTAAAATAACAAAAGTTTTTTTTTTTTTTTTGATTAACCTGGATATCCAACCCGCTATGCGAGCCGACTAATCTCAGGGCGACCACCTGCTTTGCAAATAGCCCAGAGTCACCGCATTTGAACCTCCGTGGCCACAAGAGGATTTTTATTCCTCCTTGGATTTGAACCTGGGACCTCCTGGCACTTTTGACCTTTGGAGTCGAGCTCAAACCAATCATGCACCACCCTTGTGGTTTAAAATAACAAAAGTTGATGTGCATTCAAAGACTAACATTTGGTTATCAATTTTGTTGCACGGAGAGAGAGATTAGAAACCCAAAATCAAAATGCAAGAAAACCAACCTTGACCTTGGTGAGACTTAAAAAAACTCGTGCAATTCTCTAGTTTTCAAGAATATTCTAGGTCGCTTTTGTATCAACACATAGCTATAATGGAGCAAGAAAATCAGTGAAAGCGAGGAAATTTTACATAATTGGAAAGGAGGAGGGGGTGGACCATTGTCATGAAGTATTTCTTAAAAGATTGGCTCATTATTGTTGACAAAAAGATCTTCAAATTTTGCTCATGAGGATATGCCTAATACATACGAGCATACATACATACATTCAGATAGATATGTAGATATATGTAGATATATATATATATATATAATATAATATACCTTGTAGATCAATGAAATGGATCGGATCAAATATGGTGTAGATTCTAAAATTTTCAATGGGGGACAAACACGGTAAACCAGACTTATATTATTCTTCGATAAAAAACATGAACAATCTTACTAACCACTCAAACAACAAGCTTAGGGATTAAAGAGGTCATCATATTAGGCCATGTTTGCCTAATATAAGCTACCGTATTTTTTGAGCTTATTGAAAAAATCCCCTGTTGGTAAGCCATGAACTTATAAGCTAGTTTTTTTTTAAAACTACTTCAAATAACTTAGTATTGAGTATTTTCTTCATCAATGTATTGTAGATGATTTTACATTGTCATCTAGCTTATGAGCTGATTTTTAGTAAATGTAACTAATTTATCAGCTAGTTTTTTTATCAAGCATGGCTAGTTTATCAGCCAGCTTATCAGCAAACAGATAACTTATTAGCCAACAGCTAGCATATCAACTAATTTGCCAAACATAGCCTTAGAACCTTCGACAATTGTCACAACTTCTACTGATATCACCATGAAATTGATCTATAAAGTTTGTAAGTAGTTATGATTCTAGGCCAACAAGAACATAGTATAGTGACGACCATTTGATGCCAATGCAACTAATAAGGCTAAAGGGAAAAGTTCATTTAGGAACCGCAATATTTCAAGAACCAACTATTCACGACAATTGTACCTAAATATTCATGACTATCATTTATCATGAATACCATGTATATTCATTCATAAATCTCTATATTATAAATTCTCATAAGATTCATCATGAATAGTTGGCTCTCATGGTTATCAAAATATTTACATTTCTCAAATAAACCTACCCCAAGGTTAATATTGATCAACTAATAGACGTGCGTTATTGAAAAGTTATAACTCATGAATTCAAGAAAGATGACTAACCCGGCCGGGAATTTACTATCCGCACGAGCCTCAGCCCGTAGCCACCATAACATCACTTTCTTCCCACAACTACCAAGCGGTTCCACCATAGAAGAGTCTTTAAGCAAAGAAAGTGGACTCTCAATATCATCATTTCCATCCCCTGCAACCACCATATCCAAATCCTTGATCCAATCTGGCCTAAATTCAGCTTCTTTCCATACCAACCTCGAGTTCATCACAAACCCCGACCACTCCAGCTTTCTTGGCAACACAATTGCCATATCACCAATATAATTCGCATGTTTTCCTTTGTATACACGAGAATTAAATGTATGCCACCCGATTAACTGATCAGATGAATTACAAGCTGGACCTTGGACCGGCAATGGTGATTCTGATTTCTTATCATCTTTTTCATCCATGGTTTTCTGAACCTCAAATGGATCATCATCAGAATGAGTCGAATGAGCAAGAATCCCAACTGAAATTGCACCGATCCATTCAACTTTTTGGATATCATCAAAGAGTTCCAAACTATGCATATTGCTATCATCAGCAAACATTACAATCCCATCTAGCTTCTCTTCTCTCACAACTCTGAATCATGAAATTAGGTCTACTTATAATCAAATCCATCATTAAGAATCTAAATTCTTGGAATTTTGAAGCTGAATTGGTAAAGTTTACCTCAAGGCTTGCAATCGCATCTGGGATTCTATCTTGTGTCGAGCTTCCCAGAAAATGGGGATCTTCTTCTCGAATCCAATGTGCTTGATTTGAAGCTTTGATTTCGCCAGCAACGCGGCGGTTTCATTGGTGGCGCCGCCGGCTTCCACCACGATCCACACCACATCGTAGGGCAAATTCATCAAAGTGTGCATCAATCCAGTTAGGTGTAGAGCTTGAAAAGTTCGAACATAGGTCGGAGTTATGGCAATCAGAGTTTTAGGGTTTTTGATTCCATATTGAACCCTTTGTTCTCTCTGAACAGCTTCAATTATCTTATGAGCTTTCATCACTTCCTTCAGGTCAGGATGTGGCCACGGCCGGATTCGGATCCCATGCCGGCCGACCACCACTCTGCTAGTAGTTGCAACAGTAGAGGTGTTATTAACCACCAGCGGCGAGAGGTTGCGATTGGAAGAGGTAAAGGACAGGGTTTCGGCAATATCGGAGGCGGTTCCAAACGACGTCGTTGTGGAGGTATAGAGGTTATTAATGGAAGATGTTGAGAAGAGGAGGAAGAAGACAAGACGAGAGAACCTAAATCCAAGGACAAGACTAATGAGACAGCAGAAACAGTGAAGGATCAACCAAAAGATACTCGCCGGCGATTTAACGGCGGCGGTGGTGCCTCCATCTACCGACGAATCTAACGCCGATGGACCTCTGAAACTGTTGCTTCGTCCCCGATTTGCATAGCTCTGCTGCAACGCCTGCAGCTTCATTGTTTTTTTTTTTCTCAAATTAACTCCTGCCCACTTGACCAATCTCTATATCTGAGATGAATTTGGATGTTTGAACTATTTACAGATGAATTTGATGGTTGTTGAAGAAGATGAGTGGTTGGGGAGTGGAATCGATGATGGCGGTGGGTTGAACTAACATGAGAATGAGGTGTTAAATCAAGGAAGAATGCTTTGAATCTACGAAAGAGATGAATCTAATTGGGGGTTTGAATTTTGTAAATTGAATTGAGAGCTAGAAGAGAGAGAGACGCCATTGTCGAAGTCATTTTCGTTGGAGATAAACAGGAGATTCTTCTTTTGGAGATGATGGAATGATGATGAGTAGCTTTTAAGAATTGGGAGTAAATCTCGGTGTCCAATTCCCTCTAAATTACACACTCGCACATAATCCGGTCGTTTGTACGCATCTTCCATGGAAACATCAATTCCACCTCAAATCTATTACTTGTCGGGTAAAACTCATCATTATTGTCTTTTTTCCTATCAGGTAATATTCTTGATCTTTGTTATGTTCAATAACAACACTTACAATCTAAAGATGCAAATTGTTAGGTATGGACCACAAAACCAAGCACCACGAAAACACTTAAGACCTACAAGAAAATAGAACCAACCAAATCTAATCCGCACAACATATGCAATGAAACCTAATTTAAGACGCACAACGAGAGCAAAAACAAGCAGGAGATGTGAGAAAGCAAACATATTTTTCTAAAAAAAAAAAAAGAATAGCAAACGGATAAGGAAACAGGGGAACACGAGCAAGCAAGAGGGGGGGAGAGTGAGTGGAATATAGATGGATTAAGAAGTCGTTTTGCGGTAAATGCTGACCAAGTAAGTCTATTATTTAAGTCGCACTAATTACTTAGTGGGCAAGAAAGAGTCCATTCTGTAGCTTATCAGGTCAAAATCATGGTCTAGAACCACAAGGGTGGTGTCTGGTTGATTTGAGCTTGGCTCCAAAGATCAAAAGTACCAGGAGGTCTCAGGTTCAGATCCAAAAAAGGAACAAAATTCCCCTTGTGACCACGGAGGTTCAAATACGGTGACTCCGAGCTATCTGCAAAGCAGGTGGTCGCCCTGGGATTAGTCGGCTCGCATAGCGGGTTGGATATCCTGGTTAATCAAAAAAAAAAAAATCGTGGACCAATAAAAGGGTATTGGTAAACACTAAACATCTCTCATTCAGTAAGCACCTTTTACCTTGTAAACGGATAGTAAACAACCCATAAGTCTAAAATTGCAAATCATCTATTTATCATTGATATCCAAAAGACCAAAAACGTCATGGATTCAGTTAAATTCATATTTTTATGGTAATATATATCTTGGAATCATTTATATTAACACTTATACTTGGATATTGTCTAACCGTTAATACTTAAATTTCTTTTTTTTTTGTGTTTTAGTTTTAATCAAGCCAACTGATCAGCATTATGTATAATTTAACCGACCCAAATCCAAACCAATCTAACCGAACAAATTGGGTTGCACAATTAAAAAAGACGTTTTGAAACAGGTTAAGATGTTATATGCTAAAGTAATTCTTGGGTTGGCTTATTGAAACATCCTCATACTTCTGGTCGGTTAATCTAACCCGTGTACGCCTATACACCATCTTGTCACAATTGTTACTAACAATTTCCAACGTATAACAGGTTACTTTGACTTAATTCGAGTCAAACCCAGCTTCTTTAACATCATTATTTGGCTCAAATCATCCAAAAACTCATGTTACTTATAAATGTACAAAACTATGATATTACCATAAGTTTTAAAAATATGGGACATGGGGTTGTGACACACCAACTTAAAAACGATTTTATTGAACCTCCAATTTAATTTATAAATCTATAACAAAAAGAGTAAAGTTTAATTTTTCGATCCCCATTTATAATTTTCAACATATATCGTCCCTAAGTTTTAGAAATTAGAATTTGGTTCTTCACATTTATAAATTCTCAACGATTTTAGTCCATCTATCTAACGATCGTTGACTTTTTCCGTTAAACCCAATTATACAAAAGGTTATTTTCACTATTTTCATCAAGCTTAAATAAAAAATATAGTATATTCTTAATTATAAAATAAAAAAACAAAGAGTGGTGGTTATTATAATTTCAATTACCATTTATTTTATTTTGTTAGTTAACTATATATTTTTCAGTCTTCAGTTTGAATTTGTTAAATTTAAATGATAATTGACACAAATATGTAATTAATAAATAAAATAATAATAATATATAAAATTATTTTATTTTACCATTCGATAATAAATTTTGTAGGGTCTTTATTTGAAAACCCATAAAATTATGATAATTTTGAGAACCGATGTATCATGATCTTTTTCCATCTGCGATTTTGATTTAGTATACTGATTATAATAAATTGGTTTTACAATGTGAACATTTTTCATGTGCTTGTTAGAAAAAATTCAACTAAAAAGTTTTACATTATGAACTGAATATACATAAAACAGACACATTATGAAACAAATATATATATATATACTAATCAATATATAAAATTCTAGCTTTACATGGAAAAAATCATGTAAAACTATATCTTACAACAATAATTCTTACAGTTATCACAGTATATGGGGTTCTCAAATGATTAATAGTTAATTATTTAATTTTTAATAATTTAAATAAAAATAAATTATTCAACCACTTATTGTTATTTAAAGTCTTAATGATCGAATAATTAATCGGAGAATGCAGATTGAATCACTCCTTGATTAAGTTTCAAATATTAACTTTTCAAATATAAAACTATTAAGAAGTCGGTTATTTTGAAAATGTTATTTTTTTGTTTATATAAATATAATTGTTATTAATTTGCAATAAAACTAAATATGTAGAATTTGCGCGAGAACTGAGAAGTGGGGATGGAAACGGGGCGGGTATTGGGAGAGTAATGCATCCCCGATCCTTGTTTATGCCCCCCGTCCCCTCTAAGCATGAGAATGGGCCCCGACCCGTCGAAGAACCCGATCCACCCGCCCCGATCGAGGACGGGTATTCCCCGCTAAATCGGGGATGGGGACGGGGATGGGTATGGTACTCCCTGCCCTGCCCCGTACCCGTTATATATATTAATTAATAAATTATATATATATATGTGTATATTATTTATTTCAACTAAAACGGTAGTTCATAATTTCTTATTTTCTAACTAGGTTTATAATCTAAATTGTTTTTTTTCATATTAATATGTAATATTTTGGATGTCAAGTCAAAATACAATTACTCGATAAGTTTTGTATATTACTCGATATGATTTTATATTACTCAATATCTTTTAGTACACGTGACTTTAAGTATTTTTTGGATTTAATTAAACTTTTTTGGTTTTAGGTTATTAGTTCATATACGATATTGTGGTTTTTTTGTATCAAATTAAATTCATTTTGGTTTTAGGTTTATTGAAAATGTTTGAGATTTAAACATGCATGGTCTCTCACATATTTAATTTAAAAAAACTTATATAAACGGAAAAAAAAATCCCCGTTTCCCCGTTGAGGATGAAGATGGATTATATTCCCCGACGAGGATGGGAACGGAGACGGGGATATAGATAAGTAGTCGGGGACAGGTCCCCGCCCTATTCCCATGCCTAGTCCCCTCCCCCCGCCCGGTTAATCCCGAACAGGTTTGGGTAATCCGTTGGATACCCATTTAGTAAAAAATATATAAATCATCAGTAAATTATCAAGATTGAAAAAATCAAACATATTTATCATTTTAATAACAAATGTATACATATGTATTTATTTATACAGACATCATATACATACATAAAATAAATTAATTTTTTTATTTTGGGTCGAATTAGGGGTGGGTAATGCTATCCACAACCCCGCCCTGACTCGCTTCGAATATGAAAATAAATCTTTGTCCCCACCTTGTTACCTGAAAAAAACAGGAAATCCTGATCCCCACGGATCAAATTTCCATCTCTATCGAGAAGTGAGAAGTGAAGATAATGGGCCGTTAAGAGTTGGATTGGGCTTTTTCAATTGTATTTGGGTTGGGCCTATTTACCAAATTAAGTTGTAACTTGTAAGTATTATTGAGGTAAGAGGGTTGATTCGCACCAAGGTTGTATTTTAGTATGTTAAGTGTGAGATTTTGATCATGACCTTCAAAATTTTGGGACCCAATTTTACATATGTTTAGGCATTTTCATCAATCTGTGTAAAGCTATAACTCAATTTGCTTAGGTTCAAATTGTTAATTACTTAAGTTTATATTCAAATATGGTTTAGGCTTAGATTAGGTTCAAATTGTTGATCGTTTAAATTTAGAGATGGCCAAAAACCGGTCCCGGGCCGGTCCCAATCGGTCCTCACCATTCTCATAACCGGCCATAACCGGTCCCGGTCCCGATCGAAAATGATAGGACCGGTATAGGTACTTTATAACCGGTTATGGGCCGCCGGTCCCGGTCCCGGTCCCAACCGGTCCTTCATTAAAAAAATAAGATTTTTTATTTTATTTTTTTAATGATATATATTTTTAATACATTATAAAATTTACAATTGGGTCACTCAAATACACTTTAAAAATGCGTTTTAATATAATTAAAATTACGTTTTCTTATAAAAATACATTATAAAATTATTTAAAAATACATTTATTTATAAAATTAATTGAATTTTCGGGCCGGGCCGGGCCGGTCCATAGTCGGTCCCATAACCGGTCCCGGTCGGTCCCGGTCCCACGAAACTACCAAAAACCTCAATCGGTCCCGGTTTTCGGTCCCATAACCGATCCTTACCGGTCCCGGTCATCCGGCGGTCCCGGGCCGGGCCGTTTGGCCATCTCTATTTAGATTTAGCCGTCCTTTTGTGTTTAACATATATGTATCCTTGTTATCACTTTTGCAATGCCATCAAAAGTTCAGGATATAACAGGCCCTCCAAAAAAATTGGAACGTCCCTGATTCGTATAAATGGTTTCGTCGAGTAAAGGGTTGTTTGATATCGACTTAATGGACTTAATGTCATGTATGACTCATCCGTTAAGTCATCTATGTGTGTTCGAAAGTGGCTTAACGAGTCAGAAATGAATTATTCGTTCAGTTCACAAGGGGGAGTCATATCAGTTCAACCAAACCCTTTTCAATTTATACCTTTGAAGAAAAACGCTCCCTAACTTGTTGATAAGGGTCCTTTCCAAATTACTTCAATTCGTTCCTGCTTGAACCGTCTTCCTCGTCATCTTCCTCTTTCCATCACCACCGATTCCATTAGATTTGCTTCAACGCGTGAATT